GTAGTGGATCTCTGGCCATTTTGAGAAGGCATCAACAATCAACAAGTACTGTTTCCCGTTTATGGGACCGGTGAGATCCACATGCACTCTTGACCACGGATTTGTCGGTGTCCCCCAACTCTGCATTTCTGTCCTGAGAGGGGCTTCGATGGCTTTTGCACACGCGAAACATCTCTCAACATATTCTTTGATCTGAGCATCAATATTCGGCCAATATACATAGCCACGTGCATGTGCCTTCATCCGTGCTACCCCTGGGTGTACAGCATGCAGTTCTGATATCACCTTACGGCGTAGGTTTGTGGGTACAATTACTCGATTTCCAAACATCAAGCACCCGTCCACGAGTGATAGAAAATTTCGACGGTGAGAATACTGTCCAATGTTTTTGTTGTCTATATGAGCGGGACAACCATGTTCGAGGTATCTAATAATCTGCTTCAGCTCGTCGTCTTCTTGAGTATAGGGTTTAATGTCTTCAGAGGATAACGGTGTTGCTTTTATGACAACTTGTAGTATTTGGTGAATATCATTTTCCAACGATATCGTTGCGATAATAGAATCTTCGCTTTCCTGCTTCTGATTCGCAATTCATCGGGATAAAGCATCAGCTTGTTCAAACTTTTCAGTTGATTTATATGGAATTTGGAAATCATAAGCAAGCAGTGTAATAGCCCAGCGTTGTAATCGATTCTCTGTATATGCAGGAATACCTGACTTCGATCCAAATATAGATAGAAGCGGCTTGTGGTCCGTTAAAAGGGTAAATCGACGACCATAAGTCATTTTATGGAATTTTTTTACTGCAAAATCTAAAGCTAGTCCTTCCTTCTCAATCTGACTATATTTTCGCTCAGCTGAGTTAAGAGTTCGGGATACATGAACAACTGGCTTTTCTTTACCATCAGGAAAACAATGGCTGATAACAGCTCCGATTCCGTAGTTGGAAGCATTGGTGGCTACAATTATTTCAAGCTTAGAATTGTAATGAGTCAGCAACAGTTTAGAAAATAAAATCCTTTTTATTTCATCGAAAGAATCTTGACATTCCTCTGTCCAGTGCCATGTTGTATTAGCCATCAAGAGTTGATTTAATGGGTGTCGCAATTTATACATATGGGGTACGAACATACTATAATAACCAATCATCCCCAAAGATGAACGAAGGGTCCTAACCTCAATCGGTCTGGGCATATTTTTGATAGCATTTATATTGTCTGGATCTGGTCGATGACCATTTTTATCAAATATATATCCAAGGTATTTAACAGACTCGGGCAGAAATTCACACTTTCCTTTTTGTAACTGAAAACCAGCTTGTGATATTTTAGTGAGCACCACATCTAACCGACCCATTAATTCCTGCGCAGAAGAGCCAACAACTATAATATCATCCAAGCAAACTGCTACACCTTCGACGTTAGACACCATAGTATCCATTATCTGCTGGAAAATTGCTGGAGCTGGCTTAACACCAAACGGTAATCGGTTAAATCGATAGAGTCCATGGTGGGTATTAGAGTTAGTAACTCCTTTGAATCTTCGTCAACTTCCACTTGTAAGTAAGCTTCAGATAAATCAGGTTTAGAAAAATAACGTCCATCGTTTAATTTAATAATGGGCATGAATGATTTTGTATTAGTTCAGAAAGCGAACGGAGCTATTCGCCTTTGTGCAAATTTTTCAACAAGATTAAATGACGCCTTACAAAATCATTCATGCCCATTACCTTTGCCAAAGGATTTATTTATTAAATTAAACGATGGACGTTATTTTTCTAAACCTGATTTATCTGAAGCTTACTTACAAGTGGAAGTTGACGAAGATTCAAAGGAGTTACTAACTCTAATACCCACCATGGACTCTATCGATTTAACCGATTACCGTTTGGTGTTAAGCCAGCTCCAGCAATTTTCCAGCAGATAATGGATACTATGGTGTCTAACGTCGAAGGTGTAGCAGTTTGCTTGGATGATATTATAGTTGTTGGCTCTTCTGCGCAGGAATTAATGGGTCGGTTAGATGTGGTGCTCACTAAAATATCACAAGCTGGTTTTCAGTTACAAAAAGGAAAGTGTGAATTTCTGCCCGAGTCTGTTAAATACCTTGGATATATATTTGATAAAAATGGTCATCGACCAGATCCAGACAATATAAATGCTATCAAAAATATGCCCAGACCGATTGAGGTTAGGACCCTTCGTTCATCTTTGGGGATGATTGGTTATTATAGTATGTTCGTACCCCATATGTATAAATTGCGACACCCATTAAATCAACTCTTGATGGCTAATACAACATGGCACTGGACAGAGGAATGTCAAGATTCTTTCGATGAAATAAAAAGGATTTTATTTTCTAAACTGTTGCTGACTCATTACAATTCTAAGCTTGAAATAATTGTAGCCACCAATGCTTCCAACTACGGAATCGGAGCTGTTATCAGCCATTGTTTTCCTGATGGTAAAGAAAAGCCAGTTGTTCATGTATCCCGAACTCTTAACTCAGCTGAGCGAAAATATAGTCAGATTGAGAAGGAAGGACTAGCTTTAGATTTTGCAGTAAAAAAATTCCATAAAATGACTTATGGTCGTCGATTTACCCTTTTAACGGACCACAAGCCGCTTCTATCTATATTTGGATCGAAGTCAGGTATTCCTGCATATACAGAGAATCGATTACAACGCTGGGCTATTACACTGCTTGCTTATGATTTCCAAATTCCATATAAATCAACTGAAAAGTTTGAACAAGCTGATGCTTTATCCCGATGAATTGCGAATCAGAAGCAGGAAAGCGAAGATTCTATTATCGCAACGATATCGTTGGAAAATGATATTCACCAAATACTACAAGTTGTCATAAAAGCAACACCGTTATCCTCTGAAGACATTAAACCCTATACTCAAGAAGACGACGAGCTGAAGCAGATTATTAGATACCTCGAACATGGTTGTCCCGCTCATATAGACAACAAAAACATTGGACAGTATTCTCACCGTCGAAATTTTCTATCACTCGTGGACGGGTGCTTGATGTTTGGAAATCGAGTAATTGTACCCACAAACCTACGCCGTAAGGTGATATCAGAACTGCATGCTGTACACCCAGGGGTAGCACGGATGAAGGCACATGCACGTGGCTATGTATATTGGCCGAATATTGATGCTCAGATCAAAGAATATGTTGAGAGATGTTTCGCGTGTGCAAAAGCCATCGAAGCCCCTCTCAGGACAGAAATGCAGAGTTGGGGGACACCGACAAATCCGTGGTCAAGAGTGCATGTGGATCTCACCGGTCCCATAAACGGGAAACAGTACTTGTTGATTGTTGATGCCTTCTCAAAATGGCCAGAGATCCACTACATGAAGTCTCTTTCGACAAAAGCTACTATCGAAAAACTCAGACAAGTATTCAGCTGCTTTGGGTGTCCAGATGTATTGGTGTCTGATAATGGACCACAGTTTACCTCCGCTGAATTTTCGAAGTTCTGCGTCGCCAACGCCATTAGGCATATGAAGACACCCCTATACCATCCGCAGTCTAACGGTCTAGTCGAGAGGTTCGTGGATACGTCTTAAAGAGCACTGCTTAAAGCCGAGGGAGAAGGGGAAATAGAAGAGATGATTCAAATATTTTTTAAAACCTACCGAGCAACACCCAACCCAGCAACAAATAATCAAGAAAGTCCAGCAGAAGCAATTTTTGGAAGAAAGATTAGAATACCTATAGAGCAAATGAAACCAAAACCTAGAGCCAACCTCCGCAAGAACAGACGAATGGAACAGCGATTCAACAAGCGGCAATAGCAAGAAATTTCACGGGAATAAAGTAAACGTGGAAGTTTGGCATCACAATACGAAAAAAGGGAAGGTTATCCATGAAGTAAAAGTTGGACAAAAGATATGGGTGCGACATGCAAACCAGATACAGCCAACCAGACAAGAGCGGGAGACAGGAGATGCTATAAAGTCGAATATACCATTAAATATATTAACTGAGTCGGATAATGAAATTAAAGATGACCCGAATAATAATAATAATAATAATAATAATAATAATAATAAGACGTATACAACACTCCCAAGGAGGTCACAGTGCATCAGGCCGAAACCTAATCGAATAAAAATAAATCCTAAGGATCATTATTATCTCTGATGCTTCAAGAAAGGGAGGTGTTATATCCTAGTGACGATTAAATTACGGGTAACTTCTGAGGACTATTAATAGACTAATATTCTATAAATATTCTTATTGTATAATTATTCAATAATTAGATTATGTATATTTATATTCCCTTTATTATAAGCTCCATTTTGACCTATAATTTATTATTATACGATTTACTGTCCCTAAACTATGCTCAGTTTATTAACAACTGCCTCCCACATTCACAGCCACTTTTTGGCTTTATTGTGTACAAATGTTATTTCCTATTTCATGGTGCGTTGCGGTTTGTTTGGTTGATACATAAACCCAGTATGTCTGAAATAAATGATTCGATTCGATTCGCATAGTGGGAGCTGGTATTCGTTGTTCTGGACTCAAGTGGACGAGCTAGGCGGACATAGGACCAATAAGGACACTAGGCTGCTCATACCGATCGAACGTCATTGGTTTGGCACAGTGCTAATATTGTATAAGTTGTATTCTGATTGGTGGATAAATCACGTGATAAGAAGCGGACATAAAGACGTAAGAAACAGTCCTCTGAAGTTACTTGTAATTTAATTTTCACTATGATACAACACGCTCCGGTCGAGTTATGAAATTAAGCCCTAAATTGACTCATGGTAAAATTCAAACCTACACTACCTTATAGTGGTTTGTGTATATGTCGTTTGTGCTCCAGTGTATGAACCTAGAAAAAGTCAATGAGTTAAGTTGTATAGACTGAAACTTCTTGATGATCTGATAGCTTATAAGACTCAGAACTACTGAGACAAAAGAAACTAGTAACCAAAGAAAGTATATGAACAAATAGACCCATAAACAGTTACCTTTCACAGTGACCGTATTTCCACCAACAGCTTCAGGACCAATTAACTGTTCTTTTAAATCACCAGATTTATAGATAAGAATTGATGGTAAGTTGCTTGTTGGATAATTTGGAATACATAAGCTAGCTTCACCACGAAGAAATTTCACTGTGGGAAATTTTTGTGCTAATTTACGAAAATGTTGGTCAATTAAACTGCATAATCCATGCCTGTGGTATAAAATTAAAGTATTTTTGACAAACGATAACATATTTCATAGAAAGAAAATTTAAACACTAGCCAAGGATGTATACAAATAAGTTCCGGGTTGTGATTGGTTAGAGATTATCTAATGTAAAGTTACTAATTTTATTCACTCGTTGGGAGGTGATTACGTTGTTGGATAAGTGAACTTTCAACAAATAGCTGAGTGTCTTAAAAGACCTCCTTCGATTTACCTTGATTCCAAAATTAGCGCAGTATCAGTTCTTATGTCAGCAATGGAACTCAGAAACGATTTTATTTGATTACTCAATTGTATAAGTCAAGTGACTTAATAGTTAACTAGGCTGGAAGAAAACATCTATTTGTACTTCATTGGTGATTTTTATAATTCTTTCTACTCTATAGTGAAGACAAAAATGTAACTAATCTCAGTCATAATATGTAGCGTTGAATTATAAATACCTACCCATCAAAACGGATTCGAAACCAGTAGGTACATAAATAATAAATTAGAAATAGATTGGATGTACTACAAAACTCCTATGAATTCCTCATATATGGATGGTACATCATAAATTCTAAATAGCGCTCATAGCAAGACTAACATACTGATAGTGTTTTAAATATCGAGGAAAGCAAGAGATCATGCATGTAAACTAGAAGACAAATTAGAAAAAAGTTATGTTAATATACTATGCAACAAATTTGAAGCAAATTTATAGCCCCAAGTGATTGAATAAGGTCTATCATAATAGTGAAACTTAACATATCCCAAAATTATTTGCATGTTATGACATGATTATGAACGATAAACCGTGTTTAAAACATCATATAGCCAGTCAGGATAAATACAACATCCGAATTTGATAAATTTTCTACAATCACTTTATTCCACTGATTACAGATAGTACACCAGAATTTTTATTTACTAAGTACTCACCCTTTTTCCCCAATATGGATTACAACAAATGTATCACCAGCATTTGTCACTTCGGTTGTCCAGTCAGCTTTGGTGACTTCCCGTACATTACCAAAACGAGATTTTGATGCCACCTCCTGCATCATCGCAATGCGTTTACGTCGATATTCTTCAAGAAAACGAGCCTCTTCATCATCAATCTCTCCATCTTCCAATAAATCAAGTTTCTCATCTAACTCATCCGATGTCAATTTATCTAAAATAGATTCTAAAAATATGAACGTTCATTAATTCTCTCTTTGAAATGAAGATAAAAATGTGTTTAAAAAGCCAATAGTATTTACTTGGATCTGGAGGTAGAGGGATTTCTTCTTCAGGTTCAATCTTTTTCGGTGGTAAAATCCCTTTCTGACGTAAAATATCGTTCCATTCAGTATCTTCGTTTGGATTCTAGTTATTGACAGGTTTTCAGAGATTAAATTAAATTCATAAAAACAAACCAACATATTCCTCACTAATGAGAATGAATTTAGAACCCGATTGAAGAAAAAATTTATCAAAATTTAGATAACAGAGACCACCAATACACAATCACATAAATATATCCATCATTGCCTCTAATTAAACAAAACAGAAAAAATTATGTTCAAACTAAGTGGAAATGTATACTGAGCAATAAAAACAAATATATTAACACGTAAATTACCACAAAAGACATCGGCTCAAATTTTCACCTCGACATCGTGCAGTTAGTAGATCAAGAAAATTGATATGTTATGCAACAAGCAAACTGAACATGAGTCGAAAAGACGAAACAAAGAAAGAATACTATGGTTTTTAGGACATAAAGGGTAGGGTTGAATGGACTTGTAATTGGTTATTATTGGTTTTACCACAACCTTTTATCACAGGTTTCAATTATAGTGAGGACATCAACAGTGAAGTTTACACCTATCTACAGATCTTTAACCCAATGTTAGTGATTTTATGGTCATTCTTCAATATGGCGCTAGATAGAGTTATAAAAATGAGTGAGCGATATTAGCTATGTGCTTTATCTCAGCTATTTAATGCAGATCCACTACTTCGTTGGATAACTTGCCGTTATTACATAGGCATTAGGACCCTAATTTAATATTGTTCGATTGGTAATTTTACCAATTATCCCAACCATAAAAATTAATAATAACTACTACTGGTCTGATTGTTATTGTGTAGCGAATATATATTAGGTACCCCCTTGTACCAATGTTTATGTGTTCAAGTAAATAAATAAATGACCACCCTACTTAACGAGCATTAATCATAGACTGTCTATTCGCTTGATTACAAAATTCATGTTACTCATCTTATATGACTAAAATAAAGGGAATTCTAACTTATCTTAGAAATGGGAATGACTGTTCTCTGGCATGTCCACCTATAGCTCTAAATAATTGGCCTGGAAAACATTGACTTTTACTTAATCACGATAACTAAAATTACAAGCCCAAACAACAGTTAGTTCAAGTTCAAAGTCTGTCATAAATGTGTTCAAATATGCAGTGTAAACACATCGGAGTATTTCGAACGGGTGCTAAAGCAGTCATCCAACCAAAGCTTCAAACTTTGGAGAGAAATATTGAGTTGTTTGTTCCTTTGGATATACGTTTAGGTAGGTGTTCTTGGTTACGAAGAGGTTTTATCGTTATAGTCGTTTTCAATCTGAGAGGTAAAGACATTGGTTACGAATAATACGAGTGGGTGAAAAGCAACGATCAGTGATCTATTACAGTATGCACAGAGCTAAATTGAAAGTTGAAGCTCATTTTGAAGGACTCAGTAAAAGGTGTCATCACTGCTAGTTTTTTAGTACAAGCATCTGATTGGTTACTGTTGTGACTACATCCGGTTTTTTTATCACGTGATTTATCCACCAATCAGAATACAACTTATACAATATTAGCATTTATCGCAGACATACTGGGTTTATGTATCAACCAAACAGATCGCAATGCACCATGAAATAGGAAATAACATTTGTACACAATGAAACCAAAAAGTGGCTGTGAGCGTGGGAGGCAGTATTTAACAAACTGAGCATAACTTAGGGACAGTAAATCGTATAATAATAAGTTATAGGTCAAAATGGAGCTTATAGTAAGGGGAACATAGATATACATAATCTAGTTATCGAATATTTATGCCATGACAATATATAAATAATAATAATTTATTGATAAGTCTCAGACGTTACTCGTAATGTAATCCTCACTAGGATATAACAGTTACCTTTCGCTGAACTTTTTCTAAGACAGTTTTATACTTTTAGTGATGGGACACATGACCTGAGATTTTTTCAGACGAGTTGTTAGGTGAACGCTGAAGAACGTTTTGAATAGTCCAGGAGTTAGGCAACATGAGATTCTGGAAACAGATCCCAAGACAAAGTATGTCCCATAGGCTGTGAAATAGAACTAAGGAAAGACCTAGAACATCACATACGATGATGCCGAGGTGCTGTTCATCAGTGGAAAGTGTGGTGTTGATATTCCTAAGAAAGTATGAGGCTGACGTATTACTACAGTTCGCAGGCTTTATTCTGCGCCGACTGGTGGTAAGAGGGAACAAGCTTCTGGTGATCCAGTCGCATACCCTATGCACATCTTGATGAGGTCTTATCTTTCTCCAGACCATGATGTTATTCGCAAATAATAGATCTTGTTGATCTAAAGTGCAAGTCATTTCACGCTACTTGCCACTTTATCAAAGCGAGCACTTCAGAAGTGCGAGTTTTACGGCTGCATACGAAGAATATAAATATATATATATATATATATATATATATATATATATATATATATATATTAAACTTCAGGTGCTTCAACTAATCGGTCCCTGTCATCTGTCAACGAAAAAGACCTTGAGAAGCTGCACGACATCGCGACGCCAGATGATTTTCACGATATGAGAGACAAATTACAAAAGCGTAATCAAAGAAGCCAAGAACACGTATGTATTAATTTAAAGTGATAATTAGTCTCTACTACTCTATATGTACAGTCTTCAGAGTTAACGAACATAACCGTAAATGAAGCTTCAAGTAGCTAGTTGTGTAAAAGCATGTCATCTAGATATCGTTGTAACTTTTTCGGTCTTTACATTTCAGAATTCACAAGATTATTTTGACTTTCAATACTCAAACAGGCGTTACGAAAAGAAATAATCAGTGGAATATTTAACATGTTCAACTACGCTTACAATAAACATTTTTAAACATGGGCTTAATTTCCTAAATGCATGGGAAACTCTTCGACTAGGTGTTGAGAAGGCCTGTTTGGTTTAAAACGCATTTGCAATTAGGTACATGTGTTTTACTAATATTTTCAAACTACAATAAGCCTTGGTAATCACAATTAAAATACATACATGCTCTAGCATCTACCAGCTACTCATAATGTTGTAAAATGTTACGCCTTTTCTTTTCAATAAATTTTTTTAAACATGTATCATTTTTTGCAAGGATTGCATTTTTCGTCTAGTGTGATCTGGGAATAAAGGCGAACACATGAGACTTTTAAATTATGCCAAAGTGCTGAAAGTGGAAGATAAATCAGATAAATCGACGTGTATATATGCGAAGAGTAGACAATTCGGCGACATTTGAAACAGCGATGCAAAAGGCGAAATCCGCATTATATCCCTCCGGAAAGGCAAAAAAGCAGGCATTTTGGCGCGTTTCACTGTCGTTCCCCCTTTACTACCCTTTTGTTCGCCTTTATTCCTACTTTATTGGTTGTTTTTGGTAGCTCAATAGGGTACCATATTGAGGTATAAGGTTAAGGAACTAAAACGCTTCACTATAATCAGACTTCGTAAATAACCTATTTTCATATTATGTATCTCCGATCTATCGTTTATTATATACTAATTCCTGAAATAATACTGAGTTAGCACTGTGGATCCACACAACTACCTTGAGGTGCTGGCTACTGTAACGCACTGTGTGTATAGTCCGCCAATCAAATTGTTTCAAATGGTTATCTTCAGTCTTCAGTAATAAGGATAGGAGGTCTATCGCCCTATATTAATCCTTGCAGTTTGTAATACTGTGGAGGTTCTGATATTACGTGTTCCGGTAGAGAATTCCAGTAATTCACTACTCGGTGCGAGAAACGGAACTCCAGACGTAAACGATTTGATCTCGGTTTTTGAACGTTCTTCGAACGTCCTCTCAAATGATCAATCCTGGACAAAAGCAAGAGATAAGACATGTTAGTACCAGGGTCATCGTATACGGTAAGCCAATATTAGATCACCCCGTATTCTACGGTAATATAACGGAAATAAGTTAAGGTGTCTCAGTATGTCTTCATTAGATAGGCCAGATAGACCATCTCAGTACCCCGTCTTTGGACTCTTTCCAGCATATCTGCTTCGTACTTGAAACAAGGACACGCTGCTTGAATCCCGTATTCTAAATGTGGTCGCATATAAATCGGGTATAGTAATCTAAACATTTCATCGTCTAAATACTGGAAAGACCTACGAATTGACCATAATACCCTATAGCCTTTTGCAGCAGCAGCAGCAGCAGCCTTACAGTGACTAGTCGTTTTGAGATCATTGCTTAATATAACTCCTAAGTCTTTATAGTTTCTTGCTTTGGGTAGCACGAATCCACGTAGTGTATAGTCATACGATTCATCAGAGTTATTTAACTGCATCACTACACTCTTATTAGGATTTACTTCTAGTGACCACCTGTCTAACCATGCCACCAATGAGCTAAGATCGTCCTGTAATACTATTCTATCCGACATACTATGTATGGGTTTCCAAATCTTTATGTCATCAGCGAGGAGTAGAACGGATGATTTTGCTACAGTTGGCAATTCATTTACATAAAGTAAAAAGAGAAGAGGACCTAGGATTGTGCCTTGGGGAACCCCACCTTTTACAGGTACCCACGAGGAGAGAGCCCCATTAACCATTACCCTTTGTCTCCTGTCATGGCGAAAGTTACTTATCAAGTCGACGACTGTGTTATGGATTCCAAAACGTTTCAGTTCGAATTTAAGACCAGAGTGTGAAACCTTATCAAAGGCTTTACTTAGACCTATGAAAATTACATCCACAGGAGCATTCCGATCCTTTGCCGCAGCCCATTCTTCTCGTGCAATTAGAAGATTTGTCAAGCAAGATAGGCCTTTCCGAAAACCATGTTGTGCCCTGGAGAAAAGATTTTGCCCTTCAACATAGTTTATAACAGCTATCCGAATGATTTTCTCCATCAGTTTCACAACTGCACTAGTTAAGCTAACGGGTCTGTAGTTACTAACTAAATCCCTACTCCCAGCCTTATACACCGGACTTATTATGGCGTCTTTCCAGTCTCTAGGATGTCTGGACTGTCTCGGAGACATGTCGAATAGTATCGCTAATGGTTCAGCAATTTCATCTGATATGGCTTTCATAATCCTAGGATGAATATCATCGGGACCACTGGACTTATCAGGTTTGAGATGCTGAAGTAGCCTTAAAACAGTATCTTTCTCAATGACTACAGGATCCATCAGCAAGCCGTTACGGTCGCGATGAGTCGTTGGTCGTTCCTCATTACCGATAGAAAACACTTTACTAAAATATTCCGATAAAGCTTCAGCTTTTTCGGCATCATTCTCTGCTAAGATTAACGGATTATCTCGTATCAAAAGTGATAGAATTCCATCGCTTCTCTTAGTTCGCCTTTTTATATACGAGAATAACCGTTTCGGACTATATCTAGAATCCCTAACCAATTGTTTTTCGTATGATAGCCTAGTCTTACTTATTAACGCTTTACAGGCATTCCTAATCTTACAATAACTGGATCTGCATTGTTCTAAGCCAGTAGAGATGAACATATTCCAGTGATTCTTCCTTTTCCTAAGGAGTTTCCTGACCGTTTTACTTATCTATGGTGGACTGTTATTCACCTTTAAATACAGACCACGCTTCTTCAACTGGTATGCTAGTATCTACAAACCAATCTGTCTTAGCAGCACATTCCTGAATGGCTGATATGTTAGCGTTCCATACATTTGGGCGAGGTGTAACCTGATCGTATAACATGTCCCTAGTTCTAAACGCGAATGACAAAACAGCGTGATCGCTATTCACTATCGGTGGAAGAATATTTAAGTCGACAATATCCCCAGTCTCATGAGTGATTACCAAGTCCAGCAGAGAAGAACCCTGGTTAACACCAAAACGTGTGGGTTGGGATACATGCTGCACTAGTACGGGCTCCATTATTGTTATCAGGAACCTACTATGAAAGGAGTTAATAGATCCTTCTGTGGTCATGTCAGTCCAACTAATATCAGGTGCATTAAAGTCCCCTATTATCAAGCATCTGGTATTTTCACTCCAAAGATGAATGTGCTCTAAAATAAAGTCATCAGCTAAGCAGATTGGGCTCCGATAGATGACACCTAGCATAAATGTACTACATCCTATAGCCAACTTACAGCTAATGACTTCACAAGTACCGCTATCATGGGATTCGCTAGTAGAGGAGCGGATATTTATGCCATTAGCGATATATAACAGGACGCCCCCTCCTTTTCTACATCTATGTTTATCACTCCTGATGTAATGGTATCCGGATAATTCTGGAGTAATGTCTAAGTCATGGACTAACCAAGTTTCTGTCACTGCTACTATGAGTGGTTTTAACCTGTCCACTACTGCTTCTAGTTCATAGACCTTCTTTAGTAGACTACGAGCGTTGGCATATAAAACTCCTAAGTACAACAGCCTATCCACACAGGCCTTGGTAGCATTCGCTTCCAAGACCTGACTATCAGAAAACCCGCTAGCCGGAGATTTTCCTCGCCGTTTTGCCAACGGGTTTCAAGTTCAGTTAGTGCTTTCTTCCTTTTTATTATATCTTCGAGAGACATGTCAGGTCTAACTCGGATGTCAGAACTGTCGTGATAACGAGTGATACTTAACAAGAGATCCCGTTGATTGTCCGATCCTAGGATTACCTTAAAGAGTCTGCATGGATGGAGTTCAACATTGTCCTTGGTCCTCTTGCCTATTCTTACCAATTTTTTGACCTGAACTCCTTTGGAGTTATCTGGTAAAATACTACGAATGTATTCTCCTAGCTTTTCTAAGTCATGCGCGTGTCTAATTTTCGGATCAGGGTCGTTTGACTCCCTCAATTTGCTCACAATAATATTCGATGTTATTAGATTTTTCTTCTCAGTCACGCCAGGACTGGTTTCACTCTTATCATCAGATCTTGGTAGTGCAATTTGTGGCTCACAATTTGAGTCTACCAGTGAGTTACTAACTACCTGTGTACTGCCATCAGATTTTTTCTTTTCGTTTCGTTTCCTACGTACCGTAGTCCGTTTTTCATCCCTCATAACACTGGGACTATTTGGAACGGTGACTGTTTTATCCAGCTCTTCGGTTCCCACTAAAGGTGCATTATTAACAATGTCAGTACCAAGTGGTACTACTCCCCCGTTAATGTCAATGAAGATTTCACTTTTACGTCGGTCAGAGTCGGTTGTTTGAGGCGTCGCGTAACAGCAGGTACTACACTGACACATTCGTCACTGTCAGTGTCCATGTTGTCAGCGCATATGCCATCGTTTTTCTTACAGGCCAAAACCAATAGGCTCATGGCCTCCTGTATTAGTAATGCCTTTTTGGCACAGAAAAACATGCAAAGCCAATGTGAGTTAGTCTTCGAACATCTTTTGTATGCCGTGGCACTTAAATGGGGACACATTTTGTGAAACCACTTATTGCATTCGTCACACTGTATTCCCTCCTCCACAGGGAACAAACAGTTTGGTTGTCCACATTTGTGAGTACTACCAACCATTTTAGTCAGATCAAGGTGTAACACACGATATGATCACGGTATGAACACAAATGTCAGTCAACGAATAAAAAGTTACCACAAGACAAACTTTAGCAAGATTTTAAACCTTAACTAAAATACTTTGATACAGACCAAGAATGCTTTCGAATGTAATAAATACACAAAAGCCAAAAAAACTCAATAGAATATCACTTTAACTGTAGTAAATTCAATTAAAGTGTAAATCGTAGTTTTGATACGTAATTTACGACCAAAACAGTTGACTAATTCAACTAGAAACAATAACACTGTCCTTTTTAGACAGCGCGCGTCAAGAAGAAGCTTTCTCTCAACAGACTTCAGTGTCTAGTAGCAGGGATCACCAATACATTCAGGCAGGAACCTAGGTATATTAGTTATAATAGATTAGAAAAAAATTGGTAACTCATAATAAGATGTTATTCTGAGTCCTTAAGAAAAAGTCAAGTTTCCCCTTAAAGGACTCCTGGGATGTCGCTTGGACTAGTTCAGTCGGCAGCAGATTCCAGCATTTGGCAACCCTTAAGAAGTAGAAGTTGCGTCTATAGTTCGTTCTGCTATGTTGTGTCTTCAGCTTCTGGGTGTTACCCCCTAGGTTTTTATTGACACTAAGCTTAAGCAGGTGTTTGAGGGGATGTCCAGAAGTGTTAAGGACACTGTAAGCCATTAGAAGATCACCTCTAAGACGCCTATACTCTAATGGGTTAAGTGATTGTAGGCGCTCCTCATAAGGTTTAAGTTTGAGTCCTCGAACTGATTTCGTGGTTCGCCGTTGGATACGCTCCAGAGTGTCTTTATCCTTTGGAGTGAGGGGGGAAATACTATGTTTCCGTGCTCTAAATGGGGGCGAATAAAACTGTTGAAGATTATGTTGAAAGTTCTCTCGTCAAACTGGCCGAAAATTCGTTCCGATGTTACCAGAGCAAGGTTTGCTCGAAAGGCATTTTTGTCACAGTCAGCGTAAGACTTCAAATCGTAGGGCTCCAGGACTCCTAAATCTTTTTCGACTCGGGATACTAATAGAGAGGACTTTTTCAAGTTGTGACTGTAGTCTGCGACATGTCGCAGATGGACTACTTAGCTAAGGGAGGGTAGTCTCAGATCAAAAACTACTTCAACAACAACTTTATCCAGGAAGAAATAATGTTGA